CAGGAGATGACCAGAGATTGCAGAGATGCTACAGAAGTTGATCAGAGACTATAGACATAGTACAGGAGATGACCAGAGACTGCAGACATAGTACAGGAGATGGTCAGAGACTGCGGACACAGTACAGGAGATGACCAGGGACTGCGGACACAGTACAGAGATGGTCAGAGACTGCGGACACAGTACAGGAGAATGACCAGAGACTGCGACACGGTACAGGAGATGACCAGAGACTGCGGACACGGTACAGGAGATGACCTGAGACTACGGACATAATACAGGAGATGGTCAGAGACTGCGGACACAGTACAGGAGATGACCAGAGACTGCAGACATAGTACAGGAGATGACCGGAGACTGCGGACACAGTACAGGAGATGACCAGAGACTGCAGACACAGTACAGGAGATGACCAGAGACTGCGGGACACAGTACAGGAGATGACCAGAGACTGCAGACACAGTACAGGAGATGACCAGAGACTGCAGACATAGTACAGGAGATGACCGGAGACTGCAGACATAATACAGGAGATGACCAGAGACTGCGGACACAGCACAGGAGATGACCAGAGACTGCGGACACAGTACAGGAGATGACCAGAGACTGCAGACATAGTACAGGAGATGACCAGAGACTGCGGACACGGTACAGGAGATGACCAGAGACTGCAGACATGGTACAGGAGATGACCAGAGACTGCGGACACGGTACAGGAGATGACCAGAGACTGCGGACACAGTACAGGAGATGACCAGAGACTGCGGACACAGTACAGGAGATGACAGAGACTGCGGACACAGTACAGGAGATGGTCAGAGACTGCGGACATACTACAGGAGATGGTCAGAGACTGCGGACATACTACAGGAGATGGTCAGAGACTGCGGACATAGTACAGGAGATGACCAGAGACTGCGGACACAGTACAGGAGATGACCAGAGATTGCAGAGATGCTACAGAAGATGATCAGAGGACTATAGACATAGTACAGGAGATGACCAGAGACTGCAGACATAGTACAGGAGATGGTCAGAGACTGCAGACATAGTACAGGAGATGGTCAGAGACTGCGGACACAGTACAGGAGATGACCAGAGACTGCGGACACGGTAACAGGAGATGACCAGAGACTGCGGACACAGTACAGGAGATGGTCAGAGACTGCGGACACAGTACAGGAGATGACCAGAGACTGCGGACACGGTACAGGAGATGACCAGAGACTGCGGACATAATACAGGAGATGGTCAGAGACTGCGGACATAGTACAGGAGATGACCAGAGACTGCAGACACAGTACAGGAGATGGTCAGAGACTGCGGACACAGTACAGGAGATGACCAGAGACTGCGGACACGGTACAGGAGATGACCAGAGACTGCGGACACGGTACAGGAGATGACCAGAGACTGCGGACACGGTACAGGAGAATGACCAGAGACTGCGGACATAATACAGGAGATGGTCAGAGACTGCGGACATAGTACAGGAGATGGTCAAAGACTGCAGACAATTTACAGGAGATGACCAGAGACTGCGGACACAGTACAGGAGATGACCAGAGACTGCAGACATAGTACAGGAGATGACCGGAGACTGCAGACATAGTACAGGAGATGACCAGAGACTGCGGACACAGTACAGGGGATGGTCTGGGGATACATTACACGTGTTTGAAGTCTGGAGACAGTCAGAGACCAGGAATATATTACACGGACTGTTGGAGATAATACTTTTCTTTCATATATCAATGGTACTGCAGGGACGTGAGGGCTGCACAATAAGCACCAAAGGGCCACAGGTTGGGCCCTGGGGATCTGAGGATTCCGAATTTCAAGTGCAGATTGGGGATCCCCCAACTAGAAGAAGTAATGGCTCATTATTGTCTATTAGGGATGTCATCTCCCGGGGTGGAGGAAGGATTCCGATTGGTCTATAATTCTGTCATTGGTAACATTGTATTATTTTCTGTTGCATTGTTTTCCGCTGGCACCTCCCCGCTCTCTCTCTAGCAGATGGCATTGGAGTCAATGATTTAGCAACAAATGTAAGACAAGTAACAGGAAAAGAAGGTGCCGACTTGGTGCCCCCGGCGTTATCATCTGTCGCCTGTGTCACTGTGATTCCACCTCGCTGCTCAGAGAGGACAATCGTCACCCCATCCAGAGCCATGTGCTGCAACATGCCACCAGCGGGCATCCCACCTGGAGAGCGAGGAAGATCTGACTGGGGGGAGAGAAGACATCTGTTCACTGTGTGTGGAGGGAGGCGATGACGCCGAGCGTCTGACTGGCACTTCATAATTCCCGCTCTGCTGACAGCCAGGAGAGTCCTATGAACCCAAACCGAGATCCTCTGAGTTCTGGGGTTCCCAGACACTGCATGGTGCTCCCTTTGTAGTGAGCAGAGAAGTGGGACTGTGCAGAGTCCATACATACATAAATGGGAACAGATACCGAGAATGACACCCGGCATCCGGGACAGGAGAAGTGGGACTGTGCAGAGTCCATACATACAGAATAAGGACAGATACCGAGAATGACACCCGGCATCCGGGACAGGAGAAGTGGGACTGTGCAGAGTCCATACATACAGAATAAGGACAGATACCGAGAATGACACCCGGCATCCGGGACAGGAGAAGTGGGACTGTGCAGAGTCCATACATACAGAATAAGGACAGATACCGAGAATGACACCCGGCATCCGGGACAGGAGAAGTGGGACTGTGCAGAGTCCATACATACAGAATAAGGACAGATACCGAGAATGACACCCGGCATCCAGGACAGGAGAAGTGGGACTGTGCAGAGTCCATACATACAGAACGGGGACAGATACCGAGAATGACACCCGGCATCCGGGACAGGAGAAGTGGGACTGTGCAGAGTCCATACATACAGAATAAGAGGAGATACCGAGAATGACACCCGGCATCCGGGACAGGAGAAGTGGGACTGTGCAGAGGGTGTGGTTTCCTGTGGAGCAGCTGCAGGCTGTGTGGTGCTGACCTCCTCTGATGTCTGATACAAGCCCAGGGTTGGGCTGCCCTGGGCTGGGACGCCTCCCAGGAGAGTCCCAGGCTTCTCGGCCTGCTCATGGAGGTGAAGCTGTGGTTGGTGGTGAAGCGGGAGGACGGAGTTCAGTGAATGGAAAGCAAATGGCAGAGACTGTGAGTAGATGTGGGAATGTTGGTGATGGAAAGTCCAGTGTGAGAAGTTCTGGTAATACAGAGAAGATGAAGTCAGTCCAGCAGTGTGATAATGTCTCTCAGCAAAGTGTGAGTTCTGGAAGTGCAGCACATGGCAGTCCGCCATTGCAGCCACAGCATGCCCAGCAGAGAAGGGCCCAGTCAGTTCAGTCCAAACAGCAATGTAATGTTGTCACCAAGCAAACTCCAAGCTCTGGAGGAGCAGCTCAAGGCAGCCAGCCATTGCAACCACAGCAGGCCAAAGCCGTGCAGAGCGGAGCCCATGCCGTGCAGAGCGGGGCCCATCTAGTTCAGTCTAAACAGCAATGTAAGGCTGTCACCAAGCAAACTCCAAGTTCTGGAGGAGCAACCCAAGGCAGTCCGCCATTACAGGCACAACAAGCCAAGCAGAGGAAAGTTCAGTCTGTCCATCAATGTGATGTTGTTACCCAGCCTAGTCCAAGCCTTGGAGGTCCAACTCCGGGCAGTCTGCCATTACAGGCACCGCGAGCCCAGTTGAGCAAAACCCATGCCGTGCAGAGCGGGGCCCATGCCGTGCAGAGCGGGGCCCATCCAGTTCAGTCAAAACAGCCATGTAAGGGTGTCACCCAGAGCACTCCAAGCTCTGGAGGAGCAATGCAAGGCAGTCAGCCATCGCAATTACTGAAAGCCCAGCAGAGCGGAGCCCATGCCGTGCAGAGCGGGGCCCATCCAGTTCAGCCTAAACAGTAATGTTGTCACCCAGCGCACTCCAAGCTCTGGAAGTGCAACCCAAGGCAGTCAGCCATTACAGTCGCAGCAAGACCAGCAGAGCAGAGCTCAGTCAATTCTGTTTAAACAGCAATGTAATGTTGTCACCCTGCACAGTCCAAGTCATGGAGGCCTAACTCCATGCGGTCAGCCATTACAGGCACCACAAGCCCAGCAGAGTGGGGCCCATGTCGTGCAGAGCGGAACCCATACAGTCCATGCAGCTCAGGAATGTAAGGTTGTCACCCGGCATGCTTCAAGTTCTGGAACTGTAAATCAAGGCAGTCAGTCATTGCAACAAAAGCAAGTCCAGCAGAGTAGAGCCCATGCCATACAGTGCAAAGTCCATGCCGTGCAGAGTGGTGATCACACAGTCCATATGGCTCAGGAAAGTGACACTATCACCCAGCACACTACCAGCTCTGGAGTAGCAACAAAAGGCAGTCAGCCATTGCAAACAAAGCAAGCCCAGAAGAGTGGAGCCCATGCCGCACAGAGTCCAGCACAGGCCGTTGAGAGCGGGGCCCATACAGTTCAGAGCGGAGCAGAGACAACTGTCACTTCCAGTACTCCGCGCAGATCTGCAAGGACTACGTTGGAGCAGAAAACTCTGAAGGAGAACTTACAGCAGTGTGTAATGGTGGGCAGTGGCCAGGAACGCTCATTACGCCCCAGGTCCCGGCAGAAGAAAGATGATGGAGCCAATAAGCCTCCACAGTCTGGCCCGGAGAGTCCTTCTACATCCAGCAGAGACCCTTCACCCAGTACCGCTGATGGGGATCAGAATTTCAAGCCTCCCGCGGATAGGAAGCAGAAAGTGTTAAAGTCACCTGTGCTGCGCCTGGCTGACAGGATTCCTGCTCTGGAGAAGAGAATGAAGACCTTGAGGAAAGCTAAGGCTTCGACCCAGAAAAGGATTGACTCCATCTACAGACTCAAGGCTGCCGACCCCGGGAATGAAGTCCTACACATGACAGCGAGCTTAACGCCCTGGGCATTGAACTGGCCGGTATATCGAGGAACATTGATGCTGTTCTGGAAGAACTAAGACCAGGGGGGGAGGTGTATCGGGATTGTGATTGGGTTGGGGCACAATTAAGTGTTAGGATGGAGTCTTCTTCAGAGTCAGACTCCGGGGAACTGACCCAAGGCACGCTACCAGCAAATGTGCCTTCTGAAAGACAGACTCCAGCTCTGGAGGACAGCGGTAGCGTCAGCTTCACCCAGCAGACTTTCATAGTGCAGGAAACCCAGAGAAGCGACATGATGGACTCCCAGCACATGGACTATGAGGACGGTGTTGCTGCCCCCAGTTCTCATGATGGAACCAATGCTGAGGGGACTGGTGTTCGGGATGGGGTAGTTGATAATTATGCAGATGAAGCTGCTGATGCTAGTGGTGATATGGCCAGTGCTGATATCACTAATATTGATGTAGGGGTTCCTGATGTCATTAACACTGAGGTAGGTATGTCTGGATGGGGTCAGGACCAGTCTGAGGACCTTGTGAACGTGGCAATGGAGGAGTCAGTTCAGGATAACACCCGTGATTTCCCCCCTTTGGTTGAGTCCCCACCTGCATCACAAGAGAATAGTGGTCCATCTGACCATGTCCCTCCTCGGAATGCCTGGAGCCGTGGGGCTCCTTCTTTTTTCCAACAATGCCGGTTATACTGGTCAGGCCTTTAAGAGGAGAGGAACGTGGTCAGGTTGAAGCATAGGGGTTCCAGAGAAGAGCTCCCTGATAGGAGGTTTGTAGTTAGGGAGTTGCTGTGTCAGCAGATGGGGTTTGCGCCCGCAGATATTTTGGCAGTCATCAACCTCCCTGACAGACAGGGGTATGATGTCAGCTTCAAGCTCATGTCTGCCTTGGACAGGTTCTGGGCCGGCTTTAGTGGGTTTCGGGATAAAGAGGGGTGGAAGATTTTCACCTTCATCCCCATCTCCAAACCTGACACAGCAAACGTGAACATCATTTTCTGAATTGAGTCTGTGCCCCCCCAGGATATTGTAGTCTGGCTCAGAAGGCATTGTGAGATGGTCTCTGATCTGACCAAAACTAGGGACAGTGATGGGATCTGGACTGGAGGTTGGAGGGTTCTTGTCAAGCTGAGGCAGAGTAACAATGTCACCCATCACCTTCCAAACTCCTTTTTCATTGGGCAGGAGAGGGGAGTTTGCTTCTATGCAGGTCAGCCCAGGCTATGTTTCAAATGCGGTAGGTCGGGTCATGTGGCAAGTGTCTGCTCTGTCATGAAGTGTAATCTGTGTGGGGAGGTCGGCCATGTCAGTTCTACCTGTGAGAACATCAAGTGCAATCTATGTGGTAGGCTTGGCCATTTGCACAGAGATTGCCCGGTTGCCTTCCACAATAGGGATGAGGAATCAGTGGATGAGGAATTTCTGGTGGCAGCAGAACACCTGGAGGAGGAAGCCTTAATGAATGGGGTCATATCAACTGAGGGGGAGGTAAACCCAGAAGTCCAAGGGGCCAGCCTCGGGCAGGAGGGCAGTGTTCAGCAGACTGAGGAGCAGCGGCCATCTGTGGCCATCCCATCCATTTCAGTTCCTGCCTCTGTGGAGAACATTCCCAGGCAGAAGAGAAGGAATAGGAAGGACAAGGCCACCCGTAAACCTGAAAGTGAGTGGACCCGAGTGCAGAAATCCGTTAAGAAAGTGAGAAGGGTGCCAGAAGGTAGTATGGCAGTCAGCAACCAGTATGATGTCCTATCAGAGTCAGATGCCGACTCCTGTGATCTAGAGGACCAAATGGAGGAAGAAGTAGAAAGGGAATCTGCAGCTAGTTCAGGGGAGGACCCACCCACTAAGAAGCGCCCGCCCCCGGCTCCCGTATTTGTAGAATCCGATATGGAAAC